CCTTGTGAAATATGGAGAAAAATATGCAGGCAACTACAGTGGAGGGAACAGGCGCAAGCTCTCCACAGCAATAGCCCTCATTGGAGGGCCACCTGTGGTATTCCTGGTGAGTCTGCAACATTAACTCATTAATGTTTTCCTCTAAAAACAGAAAAATTAGGCTCAGATGAAGATTGGCTATTTTGCGACCAACAAAATCTAAAAATGTCATCAGTCACCTAAATATAGGCAAAGAACACAGGGAATCTTTCTTTGGGACTGTTTGAGCCTATTTGAATGTATACTCAAACAATAATGTGTCTCATGGTTTCTGTTCATGAAAAAATCAGTGGAGAAGTGGAGATCTGAAACACGATGCCAAACTAGCAACAGTTAAAGCATCTTCACCACTTGCACAAATATTTTTATGCATGCAGAACATTACAGCCCTCCAGCATTTTCTTGCTCAATTTGAACTTGAACTGAGTTTAGCTTATTTTAGAACTGACTTTTTCGATGTTATAATTGCAAAATAAATAGTGCTTCTCAGTTCTTCAAATTTTAAATTAGCAAACATGCTTTTGAGCATAAATTGTTTTCCCATTTTAAAACTTGCTTACTGTCATCTTTTCCAATATGCATCATCAGAATGGCCAAGTCATTTCAGAGATGAGGTATTTGTTGGTAGCATGGAACAGCATATCCTATTTTTTTGTATGTATTTTGCAGGATGAGCCAACAACAGGGATGGATCCCAAAGCACGCCGTTTCTTGTGGAACTGTGCTCTGAGTGTTATCAAAGAGGGGAGATCAGTGGTTCTTACATCTCACAGGCAAGTATCAACTCTGTTGTGTCATATTGCAACTATTGCATCTGCTGGGGCTGGATGCAAAGCTTGGCTCAGCTGCTCTGCCCTCCAACACTCCTTCCAGCACTAAGGGATTTAATTCTTTTTACAGCATGGAAGAGTGTGAAGCGCTGTGCACTCGAATGGCGATAATGGTCAATGGGCGATTCAGGTGTCTGGGCAGCGTCCAGCATCTAAAGAACAGGTAGCTATTTTGTTGTCATTTACATCACACAGAGATACAGTCAGACTTAATTCCTCATGCAGCATTCCCATTGATTTTCTGGCTATGGGAAAAGGTGCTGAATTCTAAGCTGTATGTCTGTTTCAGTGCCACTTACATGAACTGCTCTGCTGGCCTTCTTGTGTACAGGTTTGGAGATGGTTATACCATAGTGGTGCGAATTGCAGGGGCTAACCCAGACTTGAAGCCAGTTGAGGAATTCTTTGGGAATGCCTTCCCCGGAAGTGTCTTGAAGGAGAAGCATCGCAATATGCTGCAGTACCAACTTCCGTCTTCGCAGTCTTCACTGGCCAGAATATTCAGTATTCTCTCCCAGAACAAAAAGAGACTCCACATAGAAGACTACTCTGTTTCTCAGACCACACTTGACCAAGTAAGTTTTTAGTAGCCTGTGTGCCAAAACCGTGGTCCTGGTGAGGTAGGAATAAATCAGCCAACTTACCTGACCTATCTTGTAAAGGCATTTCAGCAAGCTTGGTACAGAAATCCAAGACTAATCCAGAAAGGACTCAGTGTATAGAATGCTCTAAATTAGTGAAAATCCAGAGCAAGTGTGTGACATCGCCTTTTTCTTGCAGGTATTTGTAAATTTTGCTAAGGACCAAAGTGACGATGACCACACTAAGGACCTGTCATTGCACAAAAACCAGACTGTGGTAGACATTGCAATCCTTAATTCCTTTCTGCAAGACGAGAAGGTAAAAGAAAGTTGTGTGTGAGCCAATTTCAGTCAGGAAATAATGAGCAGAATGCAAACTTCCTTTGCCTGGGGATAGGTTACTCCCAAAGAAGCTAGAGGGAGAGAAACTGGACACTCTACTGATAACCATTCAATGCAATGCAATTCAATGCAATGAAAACAAAATTCCATTTTAGGGGCAGTGCCTCGTGGAGTCGTCTTGTACTGTTCTCAAGTGAAAGACTTGAATTTAGCTCATTACAGTACAACTCTGTGAAGCTGTGGTAAAGCACCCACCAGATGCTGTGGACTTTCAACCACACTGCATCTTGTCCTGTACAGTATGTTTTTACTAGGGTTGCAAAAACAGTTCATTAAGGAATAATGGCCAGTGGTTATTTATTGATATATTAAAGACATGTATGTTTTACTCTTGTAAACATGCATGTCAGGAGTGGGAATTCCCGGGTGCTGTGTCCATTGCTGGCAATGAATGCACCAAGACAGTCAGTGGCAAGAGAAGTCACCAGCATTGTGACCTTTGTTTGTGAAAGCATACCTGACCAGCTGCTTTTCCTAAGCTGGTGTAGGTAAGTTGGTGACATATCTGGGGTCACGAAGCAGTGCTGTGCAGATGGGATGGCAAAAGATGGGCCATCGTGTCTGTACATCTACTTCAGAGTGGAGATATGCAGAACTGTGAACCCTACAAATGCACAGGATTGTCCCACCAGCATCACAACTATTAACCTACTCTGACTGGGTTTTCTTGTAGTTAAGTACTCTCCTGCTCCTTTGAGGTACTGCAGCAGCTGCATGAGCACCTGGCAGAAGGGAGTGGGTGAGAAAGCAGACCACAGCAGCAAACTCAGTAGTTGTACCAGCTGCTAATACCAAGAGCAAATTCTAAATCATGATATGCCACTCAGATATGTAATGTCCGCTCTTTAACCCCTGCTTTGCACCAGTAAGGTACCCATCATCTATAGTTACTGCTTAGCAAAAGAGTGTTGCCATTTCTGGCTTTGCCAGATAAAACTAGAAATGTAGATATTTTTTTTTTTTTTTAACAGTATTATTTATATAACTTTGAATAGGTTGGTAGCATAATTAGGGATTGAAAATGCTTTCAGTTGATCTTTGTAGCCCAAGTATTTCTTTCCTTTATGCCTGCAATGCTGTGCTTTCGTTCTCTCTATTCAGCAACAGCTATATTCATGAAGGCAGGTATCACCCTCTTGCAATTAGCTACTATCCGTACTACAAGTTGTTCACCTAAAACTTTCCCTCATGGAAGCTGATATAGTATTAGATTAATGTGCAAGTTTCTGCTTCTGTTGTGCAGTGTAGTGTCAGTTGGCAGGCGATTCCTAACTGTAGCACACACTCTTAATTCATGTGAGAAACTGCGTCAGTAAAACTCATCTTGAACAAGATAGTTCAAAAGTAGGAGAGCTACAAATGACATCAATCAAGTTGTAAAGTTTTACAAGGCCAGAATAATAGTAGAGGAAAGATTACATAGTGAGAACAAGCAATTCTTGTTCATCTTGTACAACAGCCATGGGAGAGTATGCTTTTGTTAATAAACTTATGTGCCCTTCTGTCTCGCTTTTGCATTCAGAAATAGGTTCAGTAATGTGGTATGAACCCAAGCATAGTTCCTGGGCAATTCCTGTGTGTCATGCCTCTGCCTTAATTACCTGTGCAAGTTCTGCACTTGTTTTTAATGCTCCACCATGAATGCGTCATGGACCATTTTCTTCTGTGAATGCCCATAGCAGCCCAACAATGAAGAAGAGGCTGGAGTAAGCCTTAAGATGGTTAAGTACATATTTCTAGGTGTCCTTGATAACATTGACCAATTCAGCATTTTTAATACATGGACAGTTAAATATTTAGCACAAGTCCCCAGTACCTGCTTTTGGATAATGTAATAGCTTACTACATGTTCTGCTGAAGTGCCTTTTTCATACTAATTATTTTTTATCTATCTATTACATTGCTATGGGGATAGAAAGGAGAGTGACGGGGATTGGTATACCTCACATAAAACATGCTTTGTTTTTACCTTTATGGCACCCTTACCCCTGTGAGGATGTTTGCACCAAACTTTTATGTGCAGAATAATTACCAAGCAGCTGAGCTACAGCCATGACTTTTCAACAGCAGGCTGCTCATATGTTAAGCCATCAGTGAGACAAATGGCATGTAGTGAATACTTACCACTGCTAGAAATCATTATTGCAAATCAAAATTAAGTGAAAATCTCAGCATAGAGGCTGAAGTGAAGGGCTTAAGTTTTGCGCTGCACAGATCTAGTGCATGTAGAACTACAGTGAGTTCTAGGAGGATTCATATTTGGTCTTAAAAGAGCTGTAGTTTGCTCTTTACAACTGCTCATATAAATGACTCATTTTGCAGGAAACAACAGTGTATTTTTTAGCTTAGCTGGCCAAAAAGAGATTCTTGGTTCCTGTGTCCTGTGAGTGTCTTGCTCATAGTCTCTCATAGGTGGAAGTTTGATATCTGTGACAAAAAGAAAGACGTGGATGTTACCTGAACTGTTTCACAGCTCTAGTTTTGTTTGTAGTCGGCATAAAACAACTCTTGTGCAGATTTGTCATTGAGTAACTTCAGACAACCACTTGCTTACTCTTACTAGTTCTGCATAGGGAAAAATCACTCGATTCTTGTACAGTATGATTGTGAACCACTCTGGATAATGAAACTGCACTGAGGTGTTAACTTATTTTAAACTGTGTTACTGTTGAAATATTGCACCCTTCTTTATAGTACATTTGTATTTCAGTACAGAGTTGTTACACTTTCTCCCCATGGTTAAACCACCACTTTGTGCTTATCTTTGCCTCCTAAACTGTAGTTGGTCCTTCATTCCAAGCACTTTATGCTATCTGTAATGGGATCTATTTTTGCACTGGAATATCTGTTAACTTTGCAAAAATCTAGTGAGATTTCACAACTGTAATTTCTGAGTTAAATTCTTAAGTGGACGTTTTCATTAAAGGAAAAACATATATATATTTGTATTTGCTAATAACTGTTATGTGAAGTATTAAGAGGCACTCTAATTGCCTTGTATTAAGTAAAAAATAAAGCTGTTCTGGCACCTTTGGTGTGTAAAGTGTCATTTATGCATGTACTTTTTTGAAGAGTGCTGTTCAGAAGTTCATGTGGCCCTGTTTGTGTCTGGTGTGAACTTTCATGCATAATGTATGAGCAGGTTCTAGCATCACCAAAGATTAACATGGGGCACACCTACACGGTAGGTAAGTGAGATGGTCCAAGATTTGAAAGGCAAGCACTGCTTTAAGCTTCTACATTTACTTAATAAAAAGGGTCTCCAACAAATCGAGCAGAAGGTAATCTGTGCAATTGTCAAATTCAGCTACACAGCTTCTAGGCATCACAGACCTATCTGGATGTTAAACCCAAAGTCAGGTACTTGCCCCAGAATATTTCCATCACACAGATGCAGCCATATTGATAACTGCTCTTTGCTATAAATATTCAACACCTAATTTCACTGACAAGGCAAAATGTTGTGTTAGAGCATAAAGGTTTGAAATGCCCTTTATCTTAGCTAACATCAGATGAAAGGACAGTCGTTCAGCAGGGGGTGCTTTCATACCGGTATACACACAGTGCAACCAACTTCACAGTCTGTGCAACCTCTGTTCTGCTGCTACACGCTGCAGCAAATAAAAAAACATCTTAAGGGCTCCATGACCACGGATGCCCAAAATGCAAAGCCTGCAGAAGCCTGTACTTGCAGAATGGTTTTTACTAGAGGTCCAAAACAGTAAGAGCTTGACTGGCAAACACCATAACTTTCACTTTATACAAATTTATTTGGTTTTCAACAGTCTGGCAAACAGTATTTCAAAGAGATAAAGATGCATAGATTAGGTGAATTTGAGATAGATAATTTTAGCACCCTGAAGAAGTATTAAAATAATCAAAACTTCTTAAAGAAGTGTTTACAGAATATAAAATTAAAGGGCTGAGGTTAGGGAAGAGTCAATCAGAACACCACCTAACCAGCTACACTACAGCATCTGCTTGAAACAATTCCAGGCACAATGAAGTTTTACATTACTAAGAATTAATACAAAGCATCCCAACGAGAAGTCTGATTAAAGTGTAATTGTGATATGAGCAGTTATGGGGGCACTCCTTAAGCCAGTATGTAATACCCATGATGCGATGATTACAAAAGTCACCTGACCTAAGCTGTAACCTTGCAAAAGAGCATTTCACTCACTGGGCCCTAGCAGCTATGCAGAAAAAAATATTAAAAAGTGAAGGGGTTAAATTAAAGATCTGTAAAGTTAAGTTTCATGTTGGAAGTGATGTGACCTGAATTCTACTTCTGGAGATGTCGGACCATCATGATAAACTATAGGGGTGTTGAATTTTACTGTGATAGTGATCAGCATTTTGCATCCACTCTGAAGAAAATCCATACAGTTTGTGAGAGTATGACTGTGATGATCCATGCAACGGTACTTGCCAACGGGGCATCCATCTCAGCTTTTCCACCATCATTCAGTAGGCTACTTCAGAGGCGAGCATGCCAGAGGAGTCAGGAGCATATTCTGCTGGGATTCCAAGAATCTGACACTGTCCCGTACTGAAATTAAATGCACGTTTAATTAAGAAAGAAATCCAGTGAATTATAATACTTTTCTCAGCATGCATGCTAGTAACACTAATGAGTTCTCTACACCCATCATCTCTTACCAGCTGCTACCACTCTGGCATCTTCATGGGCCCTGTGCCTTCCCGCTGCCCGGTGATCTGGGCTCTCATTCCACCAGATCACATGGACTGAAAAGTACAAATAAAGTCAGCTTATCACTGTTGCTATTATGTTGTAATGCAATATGCAAGTCCTTGCTGTTCACCCTTGTGTGTTAGGTGCCTTGTAGCTAGCAGAAACAGTTCACCCAGCAAGAATGTGTTGAGATGATCCTTTGCTGAGCCTTTAAAAGGTTTGACTCTAACAGCAGATCAGAGAATATTTTAAAATTGCACCACTCCGCTTAAACATATAACAGAATACACAAAGCTGGGTTCAAGGACTGTTTACAGGACTTCCATGATCCACAGCAACATTTTTTATCAGGCCATCCAACCCTGAACCAGGACAAGAAGTTTTTCACCTTCCCTCCCCATTCCTATACCAAAGTCTGTATTAGAAACTGAGTAGTAGTGTTACCTGTGTTAAGTAACCCATACTCTGTGTGGAAAACACCAATTAGCTTGGTGTAGCCTGTGTTGATGTGAGCATTGATTGCACCTTGAAATGGCTCACCCCACAGAGCTGGCCCACCAGGCTTCATTTGAAAAGTAACCCATTCATACACACCTAGAGGAAAAGACAAAAGAAGACCTCAAGGAAGGAAATTAAATACCATTTTTCAGTCTTTCACAGCCATGCTTTCATTACTGTGAAACCAGTACTGGTAACCTTTCTATTAGAGGAGAGAAGGCCACGAATCTGCCTCCTGCCCAGCCTGCACAGCACCTCAAAAAGAATCACAGGAGCACAACTCAGTATACACAGAAGCACAGGACCCAGCAGTACAGAAGGATTCCCACACACCCTAGCTGAAAGGGGCGTGCTCACATGAAAATTTTTGGCAATTTCATTTACTTGGAAGAAATCACTAATACTCAAACCTGATGGTATGTTTCAGATGGCTGACAGAACTATGCAAAGCAGCCTTTTCTAAGACTAGTGATGTTCTCTGGAATTGAAGTGTTTTTTTTTTACCTTGTAAGCCCTACTGAATCTCAACAGCTGGCCACAGCAAGATTTGAAGTCAAAAGCAGCAGACCAGAACTAGCTTACCATCTTTGCTCTGCCAAAAACCCTCCATTTCTTGGGGACAAACTGGATGATATCCCCCCTCAAAAAACAATAGTCCTGCTACTAGGTACCTTATTTGTGTCATTTCCATTCACATACTTACTCTGAGTCACAAATGCTAAGATTTTAGCAGAAATCTAGACAACTGCACCATTGCAATGTTTTGTTTGGTATTTTTCTCCAACAACAAGCTGGAGATTAGAAAAGAAAAACACCCTAAAATGGAATAAAGTGTCGGAATAGACAGCTATGCCACTTTAATGGAAAAACAGACTGCTTTAAATTCAATTGTAACATAGCATAAAATTCAGAATCTTGGGGAAATAAATAACAAAGGTTACTGTGTATGTGCTGAGGGCTAAAGCAGGGACTACATTTTACTCATGCAGCAGACTGCAAAGTCTGCAAATTTTCTTAAGTGAGTGTATAGTCAATGCTCTTAGTATCACATTTGCTAAAAAGAGAAACAAAATATATAAATACAGGAAGCCTAAAACCAAGCCATGATCTACTAACTATGCTTGGCTTCTACATACCTTAAAAAGTACATCTGGGGAGTTTGGTTATTTAAACTACTATGCATAAGACGTAGTTGCAACAAAATAAAGTGACAAATGAGACAAACCTCTGTGAAACAGAAAAAGATTTTTTTTTAAACGTTTCTGGGAAGCATCCTCTCACTGATGGTGGACAAACCAAGCCAGGATGACCACTCAGAGCACTACTGTGTGGTGGTCATTTTGCATTTTTGTTTATCAATTCACACCTTATTTCAAATCTTACAGCTGGAGCTCCAGATAGTTTCTTACACACAAGTGCTTGTTACATAAGGGGTTATAAAGTCGTGTAATACCTGGTTTAAACTTTAAGCCGTGTTTTGTAGTCAGTCAGTATCAGTAGCTTTAATCAGTAAAAAGAAGATAAGCTCACCCCCTTCCTTTGGAGGTTTCCCAAGCTGACACCAGGGTACCAGATAAGCAACTTCATTGTGCTGCTTTTCTATAAGGGGAAGAGCTGGAGAGATGAATTGTCCCTGCCACTCCTTGTCATTGGCTAGTGCCTGCCGGACTGCTGTTCTGTGGGCAAAGTTATCTGTAAGACAGGAAAAAAAAGAAAAAAAAGAAAAAGAAAGAAAGAAAAAATGCATTTATTACCACATCAGCCCATAAGAGAAAAATACAGCATCTGAGATTGGAAAGAACCTCAAGAAATATCAGTGTCTTGAAATCGAGAGAAAAATGCAACAATTATTCTTAGCTACTAAACAAAAGTTAAGAAGAGGGATGATAAAACAAGGAGGAAGAATGCTAACATACCTAACATATATGTATGTAACATACTTAACTATAAATAGGAAACAAAAATAATTGGATTTTTTCCTAAGTTTCCCATTTTAAATGTTTCTGAGAAACTATTTTTTAAGAGAAAGGAATGAAAGAAGGTAAAAATTCCTGAGAAGCAGGAGGACATTTTCTGAACCACAGATGCACGTAAACTCACTCCTGTCTACACATAGCAACTCCCCTCCCTGAGTATAGAAGGACAAGCCACCACTTTAAGCAGGCACTATGAAAATGTTTCATTTCAAAGAGCAGACTGCAGCCTTTGTAAAAAAAAAGTTCTGAGTATACAGATAAGTCCCAGCCTACAACAGATATACAAAGAAATGACAGCAGTGTGCCTTCCCATGTCTCTATAAACCCTTGGGTCCAGAGAAGAACATAGCAAGCACACCCTTTCTCAGCTTTTTTTCATGGTTCAGCAGCACCTTCCAGGTCAGCAGTGACTCCAGCAGCATAGAAAGTTGATGACTACAATGTCAGAAGCCTGTTGCTCTCAGTGCTGAAGCAGCAACACAGCACTTCATGCATATGGGATGACACACTTGCGGAGCAGCCTTCCAGCTCAGCACAGTGTAGCTTCAGGAGTTTAACCACACAGACTACATGGTGTTTTGTTTTATAGGACTGACTGCTATGCTGTTCTAAAATTTGTGAGTGATTATACATACATATAAACAAATACAGATATTTGCATAAATATGGTCTGCACTTACACAATTATTTGCATATGCATAATCTAAATGGAGGATATAAGAAAGAAGGGGACAGTATCATTAGAAGGGACTGCTGTGATAGGACAAGTGGAAATGGTTTTAAAGTAAAAAGGGAGATTTATATTGGCTGTAAACAAAGTTTTTTTACAATAAGAGTGATCAGGCACTGCCACCGGTTTCCCAGAGAGGTGATGGATGCCCCATCCCTGGAGACACTCAAGGTCAGGCTGCATGGGGATCTGAGCACCTGATCCAACTTATAGTTGTCCATGTTAACTGCAGGGCAGTTGGACTAGATGGCACTTCCAACTCAAGTGATTTTATAACTCTGTGATCCTATTGAGGAAGTCTCAATTCTTTTCCCATCTGTTCTGACACTCTGAAGATGTGTTGTTCAGGAGCTGGCCCTACCTGAGAGGAATCTCCTATAAACAAAGCACACTTCACGCTGGCTCTGTATGTTAGAAGAGCTTTTCAGTGTTGTTAAGCTTGAGGGTGGGAATGATACGGTTGAATCTCTATGGATAAGGATCAGGGTAAGGGCCAATAAGGCAGACATCCTAGTGGGGGTCTGTTATAGACCTCCTAACCAGGATGAAGAGACGGATGAGGTGTTCTACAAGCAGCTGGCAGAAGTTGTACAATTGCCAGACCTTGTTCTCTTCAAGCTGGGACTTTAACTTTCCTGATACATGTTGGAAATACAGTGTAGTGCAGAAGAAGCAGCCTAGGGGGGTATCTGGATTGTACAGAAGCTGGTAAGCCTACCAGGACAGTGTCCCACTATATCTGCTGTTCACAGAGAAGGACTGATGGGAGACTGGAAGATGAGGAGTCTGGGAGCCTTGGGCAGAATGACCATGAAATAGTAGAGTTCTTGGTTTTTGGTGAAGTCGGGAGGTGGAGGTAGAAACAAAACTTGGACTTCTGGAGGGCAGACTTTGAACTATTCAGGACCATGGTAAGGAGGGCCCCTTGGGATTCAGTCATGAAGGGCAGATAGTTCCAGGAAGGCTGGTTGCTCCTCAAGAAGGAAGTCTTAAAGGCACAGGAGCAGGCTGTCCCTCTGTGCCATATAATGAGCCAGTGGGGAAGAAGACCAGTATGGATGAACAGGGAGATTCTCCTGAGGCTCCAGAAGAAATAGAGAATCTACCTCCTGTGGAAGAAGGGATGGGCAAATCAGGGAGAGTACAAAGAATTTGTTAGGATGTGCAGGGAGCAAACTAGAAAGGAAAATGCCCAGCTTGAACTCAACTTGGCTACTGAGCTAAGAGAGAACAAATTTTTTTTTACAAATGTATTAACAGTAACAGGAGGGCTAAGGAGAATCTCCATCCTTTACCAGATGCAGCGGGAAATGTGACTGTCAAGGATAAGAAAAAAACTGAAGTTCTCAATGCCTTCTTTACATCTGTCTTTAAAAGTCAGACCAGTTGTCCCTGGGGTACTCTACCCTGACCTGGAAGTCTGGGATGGGGAGCAGAGTAAATTCCCCACGATTCAGGTAGAAACAGTTAAGAGACCTACTACTCCACCTGAACTGCTATACATCCATGGGGATCCTCGAGAATCCACTTGAGGGTGCTGAGGAAGGCAGAGATGATAGTGAAGCTGTTTTCTACCATCTATTGGCATTCCTGGTCAACTGGAGAGGTCTCAGAGGAATAGAGGCCTTCCAGTGTGACACCTATCTACAAGAAGGGCCATAAGAGGAAATCAGGCACCTGCAAGCCTGTCGGCCTGACCTCAGTGTCAGGAAAGGTTATGGTGCAGATCACCATGAGTGAGATCACATGGCATGTGCAGGACAACCAGGGGATGAAGATGAAGCCCAGACAGCATGGATTCATGAAAGGCAGGTTCCACCTGACCAACCTGATCTCCTTCTATGACTAAGTGACCCACCAGGTGCATGATGGAAAGGCTGTTGACAGAGTGTACCTAGACTAGCACTAGACTAGCTAATGTACCTAGACTGGCTTGGACAGGTACACTCTTTCCTGGGCCCAGAGAGTGGTGGTGAATGGAATTAAAACCAGCTGGTGACTGGTCACAAGTGGTGTTCCCTAAGGGATCAGTACTGGGGCCTGTCCTGTTCAATATCTTTACTGACGACCTGGGCAATGGCATTGAGTGCGCCCTCGATAAGTTTGCAGATGACACCAAGTTGGTGGGAAGTGTTGATCTGCCTTAAGGTAGGTGTGATCTAACAGGCTGGATCACTGGAATGAGGCCAGCGGGATGAAGTTCAACAAGACCAACTACCAGGGCCTGCACTTTGGCCACAACAACCCCAGGCAATGCTACAGGCTTGGGGCAGAGTGGCTGGAAGAATGTATGGAAAAAATTGACCTGGGGATGTTGGTCAACACTTGGCTGAATGTGAACCAGCAGTGTGACCAAGAAGGCCAATGGCTTCCTGCCTTGTAACAGAAATAACCAGCAGGAGTGGGGAAGTGATCATCCCACTGGGCTCTTCACTGATGAGGGTGAATCTCAAGTACCGTGTTCAATTTTGGGCCCCCCATTACAAGCCAGTGAGTCCCTGGAGCATGTTCAGAGAAGGGCAACAAAGCTGATGAAGGGTGTGGAACACAAGTTTTATGTGGAGCGATTGAAGGAACAGGGATTGTTCAGTCTGGACAAGAGAAGGCTTGGAGGAGACCTTATCACTCTCTACAACTACCTGAAAGGTGGCCGTGGTGGGGTGGAAGAAGGACTCTTCTCCCACATAACTAGAGATAGGTCTAGAGGGAATGGCCTCAAGTTGTGCCAGGGGAGATTCAAGGTGGATTTCAGGAAAAATTTCTTCTCAGAAAGAGTGGTCAGGAGCTGGAATGGACTGTGCAGGGAGGTGGTGGAGTTGCCATTCCTGGAGGTGTTCAAGAAATATTCAGATGTTGTATTAAGGGACATGGTTTAGTGAGGAAATATTGGTGGTAGGTGTATGGCTGGACTGGATGATCATGGAGGCCTTTTCCAACACTGGTAATTCTATGATTCTATACACCTGCTCAGAGGAAAGGCCACTTTCAAGAACAGCCGTCATCTATCCAATAGACCAAAATTGCACTACAGTGGGGATTTTTTCAGCTTTTGTCCTCATGGCTAAAGCAACAGACAACAGCCTGTAAGCAGAGGGAGGTCTCAGCATCCCTGCCTGCTGACACTGAGCAGTGCTGAGCATACCATACTTCCAGACGTGCACAGCCTTGTTCATTGATCCCAGTTCTGCTGTCCAGAATCCCACTAGCTCTGAGTGAGCTGTGCGCAGGTGCAGGCACTTATGAACCAATTCCACAAACTCCTTCATCTTTGATGGCTTAATGTCATACATGCGAATTTCATAGAAAATGCCATTATTCTGTCTGGGCCCTGTAGCAAGAGATGCGAGTACCTAGAAGAAAATGTTAAGAAAAGTTAGTAGAACTAATTCTCAAATCAGAAAACCATTTTCTGTCCTGCAACTGGACTGTTTTTGTTTGTTTCACAAAAAGGTGTTGTTTTACTGCAGGCTGAGAATGCTTGGAAACCTCTGCTACAAGAGTATCTTGTGACTTTTTCCTTTGGAAATACTTTCTGTGCGTATTATTCACTGCAATCGCTTTTGGCAGTGCAACAAACCGTGATGTGCCCTCTACCTGTCTCACTGAAGTGTTTAATTATTACCCTGTACCAAAGCAGGAGCTTCCCAAAACCACTGGGACAGAAAGACTCCAGCACAGCAAAGATGCTAAGGAAATGAGCTGAGAATCAAAACAGAGCAATGGGAGTGGGATAAGCACTGACCTCATGGCTTTCTTAGTGTCATTATTTGCAGGATGTGTTCTTACCCTGGCAGCATTTGGGTACAAAAGCAAGTCAGACATCCTGATGACTGCCCTTTGAAATCTGCCTCTTAATATGCCTTCAACACCTTCAGATTCCAGGAGACGAAGCTCCTCCTGCCCCTGTTTGGCCCAGCACTTGGTCAGACTAAACTAGCCTTCCACCAGCGCTAGGGAAGCGTGACCAACTACTTCAGCACGTTTTCGAGTCGCAGCCTCAGGTCAGAACCGAAACCACAAACTGCCGACGACAGAGGGGAAGCAGAACAGCGCGGGGCTCAGCTTCCCCACCACAACGCTGCACGGGAGTCCCGGAGCTCGCTCACTGTCCCAGCCGAACAGACACAGCACGCGCCTCTGCGATGAGGAAACGGCAGCGCTCGGCCCCGTGTCGGCTTCGGACGTGACCGACGCCACGCACCGCTCCGACTTTGCAGCTCTCCAGACCGCGCCGCGCACCCCGCGGTCCAGCCCTGCCCCGCCGCCCTCCCGCACCTCCATCCCGACAACCGCGCATCTCTGCTGACCGCCCGCCCTCCCCCGCTCGACACCGGGTTCCGGAGGGGAAAATGAAGCTCGCCGGCCGCCCCGCAGCACCCGCCCCGCCCGGTACCTGAGGACTGCCTCGGGCGAGGCGGGCGGCGGCGGCGAGGGGCCGGCGGAGCGCCGCGGGGGAAAGCATGGCGGCGGCGGGAGGCGGAGCGGCTGGGAGCTCGCAGCGCGCTGCTGGCGGGGGTGGGACGGGAGGGAGTGGCGGCGGTGCGCAGACAAAGCTCGTCGCGAGGAAGCGCGCTGCTACGCCGGCTGGTGTCGGTGCGTGTGTGCGCGGTGGAGGGTAAACCTCTCTCCGTGGATTGGAAGGGCACTCAACGCCCGCCCAGCTCCGACCCGTGCCGTGTCAGGGCTGCCCCCCAGCAGCTCAGCTGCCCAGGGCCCCATCCAACCTGGCCTGGAGCACCTCCAGGGATGGGGCACCACAGCTTCTCTGGGCAGCTGTGCCAGGGCCTCACCGCTCTCTGGGTAAAGAATTTCTGCCTAATATCTAACCCAAATCTCCCTTCTTTTAGTTCAAAGCCGTTCCCCCTTCACTTTCTGTCACTGTGCTTCTCCACGCTATGTGCTGCCCATCACCTCGCTGGCTCTGCTGCTGGGTGAGCAAGCAGTCAGTGGTTTCCTGGTGCACACACAAGGCAGCATTCCTGCATGAAATGTACCCTCTCAGTCTGTTCCCATTAGGCTTGAATATGTAAATAGCCTCTTGTTTCCATCTCCCCAGCTATTCCATATGAAAATCTGAGAAACATCTTACCAAACTCAACATTCTCCTCCAGGTTATTCCTGGCCACTTTGTATTTCTCACCTCATCTAAACAATCTGTACTGTCTGTAAACATTTATTCAGTGGCAACCCCTGGAACCAGTGCCATCTCTGCCGTTGCACCAAGGAGAGTCATGATTGCGTTCTTTGCACATGGGGATGTGCTTAAGCCACAGTTGTTTGTGTTCAGGTGCCCTACAAAGCAGTGAATGGAAAACGAGAAACCTGCTGTCATGTTCTTCCTTTGCTGAAGAAGGCCGTGTGACAGTGACACTGTGCTTCCCTCTCTGGGAAGCAGGTCTGCACAGTCTAGCTTGCATTTATCCACTCCACACCCTAAACACAGGCTGAGGTTTGACACAGCTCCTGACTACACCAGGGCACAGCCCACAGCTGTCCAACCTAGCTGGGAGATTGCAGCCTCTTAGGGCCTCATTGGAAGAAGACAAAGGGGAGTCTAAGGGCACATAGCTGTCTTGAAATGAGTTGGAGATTGCTTTATAGGCGCACATAATATCTTGAAATGAATTAGAGAGATGCTTTATGCTACATTTTTAAAAACTCCAGAGCCTGATGCTGTGTATCACGTGCAGCCCATTGTGTTAATCTTTATAAGCACCGGGAGGAAGTAAATTCTACTGTATCAAACACAGTCTCCACTCATCCCACAAGTAGCTACATCATGAACTGTGTAGCAGGCTTCAATGTCTCTTTGAATTCAAAGTCCAAAAGAAAATATTCAAGAGGCATTCCCTGTTATTTTTTAAGGCATGTTTCTTAAAAACTTGATTAAAAGATTTTTCCTTTATTATTTTCCCCTGGGAAATCTGTAATGATTCCAGTGGAAGAGACATGTTAAAGACAACACATGCCTCAAATCCTCTAATTGCCTTAATCCTTAATTTTTTTGTGTAGTAAAATAGTCTTATTCCAGACCTCTGATTAAAAAACAAAACAAACAAACAAACAAAAAAAAACCACCACCACAACAACAACAAAAACCAAAACAACCCAATCTTTTGTATCAACAGCTCTTGAATATTATGTTCAAAGACATTATTAATTGCTTGTGCTTATTAGTTGACCATTGTAATTGTGATTGTTCACCTTAGAATATCTCCACAGGCTTTGTGAATGATATTTTTAAAATTTGAGAGTGAAATATTCCTTTTAGTTAATTATGCAAGAAAAAAAAAACAATGTCTGCTTGCACATTTTCACAGATGGGGCAACATATGGTGGCTTCTGCCACTGTGGGTATTTCAAACACAATGCAGCTGAGAACCATAAGGTCTGTGCAGGAAAAGAGTTGACATGATTATGCAGATAAAGGTTTACATGGGGAAGACCCAGCTGGATTGACTTTTGACTTCACAGATATTATCTCAGTCAACATTCTCCCCAGTAAAATTAAAGCTGAAGAAGGATGGGAGAGGGGGAAGGAAACTCACTTTTGGAGGTGCAGAGTGAATGTTTCTCCAGGATTTGGCCAAATACGGGTTGCACTTTTATTCTGAAGTCATGTTTGCTGATCACATCAGATTCAACAGAGGAAGATGAATTCCAACACAAGACATCTTCCTGGGGAAAGCACTTTTCATTCATTCCTACCTTGCTATGCCATGCCTTTTCCAGCCCAGAGAAGAAGCAAGGATGTTGTCAGGGTGGTAGAGGCTAATACGTTCTTGGATGGCTTCAGGTAGGCAGGTAGGCTGGTTTCACCCTTTCCTACCTGGGACCCAAGATGAATATCAGGAGGCTGCTCTCAGAGAAGCACATCCCCTCACAGCCTTGCTGCTGTGCTGTGCTGCTGGGAAGCTCTGGCTGTCCCACTCATCACTGTTTCATCTGTTGCTCAGCTAAGCCTGACCCCTTTAATGCCCAGTGCAAGATGAGAGTGTTGCTGATTTAATTTAGGCCTGGTTAATTTGAATGGAGAACTATCCATGGCAGCGCACAGCAAACATGCAATTTTTAGGCATTTTGTTCTTTGTGTCTCTTTGTAATACCAGTAATACTCCGTAATGACACTGTCCCACACAGCCTGTAGCACAAATACCAGTGGCTACATTAATGAAAGGAACTCTGTGATGCCTGTTTGGCCTTCTTGGGTTTAGAGACAGCCAGTCATTTTCTTGTAAGCAAACTCCTCTGCCCTAATTCATATCCTGAGTTTGGAAGTAAGTCTTGGAGAGTTTTTAATCAACAAAAAGACCCCAAAATAATGGATGAGATTTCTGAGCAAGGCTGAATTAACTACTTGAACAACTCAACTCTCCCTTCTATTTTTGTTAATGCAACGCTTAGATAAAGATCTGTTTCCTCTAGAAAAAGTCTTGTACAACATACCTGTAGAAGTTATTCCTTCTTTCAGTCTGCAGTAAAAAACTTCTTTCAAAGTTTCCTTTGCCTGTAGTTGCTTTGAAATGAGTATGATTATAGACTTCTTTTTCTGCCCTCATTGCTCTTTCCTGACACCCTAGAAAACTTGCTTGTCTTGGTACTGCAGGATGAGAAGCACCCCTGTATTACAATGTTTTTTTGCCAAAATTCAGTAGGCATTGCTGCTGTTTATGGTAATAAGCTGTAGGTCTGTTAATTACACAACGGAAATTTGCAGCTGTTGCAGTACTTGTTTGCTACCTCCACTTCTGGCCAGCGTGGTCTCTTTACCTCATCACTCCTTCCAAGTGCATCCTGGTGCAATGAGGGCACAGCTGAAACCTGGATGACTTCTTCTATCCCTCAGAAAGCTGTGGTGAATGCAGGTTGAACGTGCTTAGCAGGATGTAACTTGGTTAAGTAAATCAATAGTCTAAGAAGATGAAAACCAGGAACAGAACATGCAAGTTCTGCTGCTGTTCTCCTCAAAGCAATCCGTATAGTATTAGACAGCAAGGGCTCTGAGATACATCACAGCATTCCTGGTACTGCAGGAGCAACTGTAGTAGCCTGAATAAACTACAGGTAGGCAGGTATGAACTGAGTGAACACACAGTGTGAAAAATGTTTACAAGTAGGCTTGACTTACCTGGGTACTGTGAAGTACATCAGCACCCACTCCCTTTACAAAAAAGAACTGACTTCTTTTTATCAGCTGACATCAACCCATGTGAGACTCATTCTTTCAAAAAACAGTAAAACCAAGAAGTGCTGCAGTCTTTTAATACACCCTCACTAATATTTCAGAAAGTGCTCTGAAATGACAGCCTCTGTGATTGTTACTGCAGATAGGTATCTCTAACAATGTAGTGCTTTAAAGCTGTAGTAAACTAAGTCCTCTTTTAAGGTAGGAAGTGGATAAAATTCTTTGGGAATCTTTGTTGACCAATATTGCTAAAGAAACTGACAATATGCAAAGTTCCACTCTGAAGGGAAAGTCTTGAATGGCAGTACATATTTGAGTGATTCCATGTAGACCTCCAATGCAGTTATAAAAATAAAAATAAAAATAGAAGCCTGAACAAGAAAACAACTTGATACTCATAATCATTTTCTGGAGGGTGGAAGAATACATCTATTTTAGAGAGGATCCTCCCAGCAGAATCATATGGCTTTCTCCTAGGAATCCCATGAGTCACAGCAGTGTTAGGCAAACCATTTTAATCATTCACTTGAGGGGCCTGAAATATCAACTCTTACCAGTAGGATTCCTGGTATTCTGAGGTCCTGTACTTCATCATATTTGCTTGGAAGTTGTTGATATCTCAGCAGTTTGATGTAGTCATACTGGAAGAACCATCTTTATTGAAGATACCTGTTGTATTTCAGAAAGAAAATAAATAAATAAATAATTTCTAAGACAGAACATCTATCCACGTGGAAGCCCGTCATCCTTCACATTTTACAACGTCTGCCCAGTCTCTAACTTCATATTACATTGATCATGGAATGGTAAGTTAAACAAGTTAAACAGCCTTGTCTGTCAAGTGAAGGATCTGTGGACTGCAATTCAATTTGCCTAGGACCAGACAGAGGCAAAAGAACAACTTGGGTTTGAAACCAGGTATTTCTAGTTCAATTTCTACTCAAAAATATGGTCTGTGAACCTAGAACATTTTCCTCATACTTGGTGACAGGCAGCTCCAGTAATCAGTGCTTGCCTCTAATGAGGACATAGACTTCTGTGGTTTTGCTTTATCCAGCAGGTAGGTCCATCTTGATGCAGGCAGCAGGACTTATGGGAAAGGCTGAGCAAAAGCCAGAATTGTTTTAAGTTAGAGAAGATACTACTAAGGGATCATGTGATCCCTCTACAGGTAATTACAGGAGTGCTTCGGGGCAGTGTAATCTGTTCTCTTTGTCCATGGTGGATAAGATAAAAACCACAGGCTGAAATTACAGGAAGGGAAATTTCAATTAGATGTTTTCCACTTCTTAAGATGGTGAAACATTTGCAAAAATTGCCTGGGACAAAGTAGGAT